AGGCCTACCTCTGCCCCTGCTTTCTCTCCTAAAGCTTAATTGTTTGTCAGAATCTGGCCTTTGGTCTCCATGAACCAGACAATATTCAAGTCCAGCTTCCGGATCGCATGAATAAGACTTGTGATGGGCAGATGGGTTTCATTTATCTGGTAATCTGGCCCTCCTCTGACTGAACAGTTAGTTTGGAGGCATGTGTACACAGAGTCCCTCTGACTCACTCGTGGCTTCCTTGTGGTGATCAGCAGGCACAGTGCAAGCTGCTGGCATAGAACTCAGTAAGTACGTAATATGGGTGATTTGGCTAACTCCTCAAGCTTCCTCTGTGGCACAGACTTGACTTCATTTTCATTTATGCCACCTGTGTTAATATCTCTCAACAGTGTCTACAACCTTAAAATAACGATGTGTTTGTGTGTGTGTGTGTGTGTGTGTGTGTGTGTGTGTGTGTGTGTGTGTGGTGTTCTGGTGTTTTGTTGATAGGTACTGCTAAATGTATGTCTCTGGTAGATATGAGCCAAAGTATAGGATGGCTTGTTGCAAGCTGGACTATCTTCTCCATGAGTTGCTAGAAAAGAGAGGTGTATCTGTGGCTCAGTGGACTCCTGTTTGACCTTGGACAGGTTATGCCAGCTCTCTCTGGCTGCCAGCTTCTGCAGCTCTATCCTCTGTGGGTTGTTACAGGGGGAAATGATATGATGGCCACATAGGAGGCAAGCCCAGGATCTGCAGTATGAAAAGGTTTCACCAAATAGCCATTGCTGTTGCCAGTGAGCATTTCCTCCTTTCTAAACCTACAGTGCTCTGAAACTGGAAGAAAGGACGTTGGGTCATTTCACTGCAGAGGCCCAAAATTCCAGTATCACTTCTGCTCCCAGGCCCTTAGGACAAAGAATGCTCACATTGTAGTATTTAGCTGTTCTAAACCTTGACTAAATAATAAAGTTAATAAACCTGAGGAATGGAAGGTATGTAGCTCCTGGGAAAGAGGATCTTTGGTGCTCATCTCCTTTGTTGTTGTATTCACCAGTAGTGAAGAATCCTGTAGGATGCAGAGGGTGAACGCAGAGGCCATACAGGATCCTCATGGCCAAGTGTATCCTGTTTCAAGGTGCAGCTAGCACAGGGCCCAGCCCGCACAGATAGTAGCTGTTCATTATAGTTATTTCAGTGTTTTTCTTTTTTCTTTGAATGCATTTCTATACTTAAAAAAGTGAGCTCCAAGGTTGTGGGGGTTTATGACAAAACATTATAGTTCTCTCAAGGTCCCTGTTTAGAAAATATATCAGTTAGTTATGACCGCAATAATACTGTGTAACAAATTACCCAAAACTCAGTGCATGAAAATAGCAGACATGCATTTTCTCTGTGCTTTCTGTCAAGTTGGTCAAGGTTGGGCTTGGTCTAAGCTGCAGGTTGCTTCCATGTCTAGCCACATGGTTCCCCTCTTCCTTGCACCAGTAAGCCACTTGAGTCATATTCTTCTTGAGATGGAAAAAAACACAGAACATCATGTTCAAGCATATCCTTCACTTCTGAGTATGTCATGTCCTGCTAAACTTCCGCTAGATCAAGTGAAGTAGCCAGGACTATGCTGAAGAGCTGGGATGAACTTCCCAGTCCCATGACCTGAGAGCGTGTCTCTAGGAAGCAGTAAGGAACGAGGTTCACTCTTTCAGTCTCCTCAGCTCTCCATTGCCCTCTCCAGCTTGTCATTGCAGTGGGCGCCCTGAGCGCTTTTCTTAGCGTAGGAGCTTCTGTGGTCCTGGCATGCTCATTACAATTCCAGAAGCACTCCACGGGATCGGGCAAGCACGTTGCAAACTCCCCTTTGGTCTCCTGAAGCCTTCTCTCTGACAGACAGGAATTTACTCTACTGTAAACGTAAGAGTCCCAATTTAGACAGACACGATGGATTAGGCAGACAGCATCATTGACCCAGTTCCACTTCGTTAGCCTTTCCAATTAAGGAGGTTGTTACTGTGAGTGAGACCTCACAGATATGCAGTCATACCTTGAGTCCTCGGGACTGAGCACTGGTTAGGTTAGGGAGAGTCTCCAATTTCCGTGTGCACCCAGATAGGAGAAGCAAGTGTGGTTGGTGTGAGAATAGCTGAGTGTTAATGACACAGGCCTCTTGTGAGAGCTTCATCCTCTTCCTGGCCAGTTAATTAAGATGCTAAATAAGAACCCTTTGTGCTCCCTCTCCCAGAAGCTTTTGAAATAAACCCAGGATCCCTGAGTATGTGTGAAGGGTCTGTGATTTTGGAACTCCAGATAAAGAGTAGATGCTGTGCTGTGTCGAGGGATCAGTCTCTTAGAATCATCCACATATTTGGCAGAGATTTTTCCATGGCTTTCCAAGAAAGGTCTTTCTTAGGGGTTCAGGATGGCATCCCCCCTTTCTTCATTGTCTTGGGATTCTGAGCAATGAAGCATGAGCCCCACACAATAGCCAAATGAGCCATGAAGCACAGCTTAATTAATCTGGGCATGCTCCCAATGCCCCGTGCTGCACTAGCTAGGATTTGGCTTTGGAGAAGGTGGCCAATTCTGAGGCTGAGCCATATCTTCTGTTCTGACTCAGATCTAGATGAATATGGACAGAGGGACAGTTAGAACAAATAACCAGTCTCACGCTGATGGTGACTTGAAGACCAGGGTCTCTGCAAAACCAACAGATTCTGTTGCTGGGGTCTGCTGACAGCCACACGAGGAGTGGACGGATCTATCTCCAATAACTGGGTCCTGCCCTGTGTGGCTAATCAATAGGGAGCCAGGCTCAGCTCTCCAGCATTGTATATCACTGATCATACAGATGATGAGAGTGTGGCCAGAGGGTCAGGATAGGTGGAGCAGTGAGCCTGTGTACCCCACCCTAGGTAGCCCAGTGAACACAGCTCTGGTGGATCATGGCTGAATGCTATCCCGGGGAAAGGGCAGAAGAGGCTGTGGTGGGAAGTCCTGGACTGTTTCTCCAAGACTCCTCACCAGTTCCTTGTGGGTCAGCGTTGCAGTGTGGAGGGAGATGGGAAAGGTTCCCTCAGTGTTTCCCTGGGTGCAAGAATTATCTGCGCTCAGATGGTATGAAAATGAATGAGGTGCCTCCTTGGCAACATGCCTGAAACTGTGCCAGGGAAGTGCTACGACCTGGACTCAAAACTGGAATTGGTGGAAGAGGCATTGTCTTTACCTTCTAAGAAGTCCAGAGGTCACAATGTGCTTGGATCCATGCCTCAGATGTGCCCTGAAGAAGATATTGCCAAACAGGGATAAAGGCAAGCGAGTCGGTTTGGTAGCGTGTTCCTGTAATCCCCAACACTCAGGAGGCAGAAGTAAGAGGAGGGCTGCAGGTTTGAGTTTGGCCTGGGCTACATTGCAAGTACCAGACTAGCTTGGGCTACAGAGAAAGACCTTGTCTCAAAAAGTAATACAATAATATTAAAAATTTGTTTAAGGGAAATAAGTGTTATCAGGCCTTGTGATGAAAGCCTGTGAGTTCCAGCAATTTGGGAAACTGAGGCAAAGGGATTACAAGTTCAAGGCCAGTGATACAATGAGTTTCAGCAGACCAGCTGAAGCTGAGACCCTAACCTCAAAATACAAACCAAAGAGAGGGGCCAGTGGAGTACTTGTTTAGCATACATGAAATACTATATTCAATTCTCTCCCTCCTTCTCTTCCTCTCTTCCTCCATTCCTCTCTCAGGTAGCTGCTCCTCTCCAACAGGAGTTTAGAATGTTGCAGTTTGTCTTCACTCTCCCTTTAGTCACAGTACTTGAAGAAAGGCAGCCTGGTGCTAATTTGCATGGCTTCTTAGAAGCCACTATTAGAAAAATCTTCTTCAATAGAGCCAAGCTTCAAACTGGATTTCTACACAGGGCCTAACAGGCGTGGTCATTTTCTCTAGAGGCTGCTAAAGGTAGTTTTCCCAGAATCATGAACACATATGATGGTTAAGTTTGGAGCAGCCATGGTGCAGACAGAAATAGCCTTTATGTGCTGCGTTTCCTGTTTTCCTTGGGAACGACCAGGGGAAGGAATGCCATCACCTCCAATTAGTCCTTGTCCTCTCCATCTGTCCCTCCCCCAACCCAGAATTCATGCTTAGTGACCCCAGACTTTACCACCCAGCACCCCAGTCAATTGGCTTTTGTCAAGACTGAGTGAATGGGATGTTTCTCTGGCCTGAAAAAATCTTTCCTGGCCTGCTGGAATGTGCTGTTCTCACAGGAACTGGCTCCCCCTTTTCTGTCTCTCTCTCTCTTGTCTTTCCTTTTTGCAAGGTTAGACATAATCACGCAATATTGCCACGCACCAGAACTATATATTTATGTCAAATTCTTTTATGGACCCAAGTCTCTTTCATATATGGGTTTGAACACACTGGAGATGTGTTGAAAAGGTGCTTTTTTTTTTTTCATGAGTGTCTATGTGTATGCATGTGGGTACATGCTTTTATAGGTACCTTGAGGGTGCATTTGTGTGTATTTGCATAAATGTGTGGTATCAGGTATCATTCCTCAGGAGCCATACTTTATTTATTTATTTTTTTTGGAAGATGTCTCACTGGCCTGGAGCCAATTGAGTAGGTTAGGCTGTCTGGCAGTCATCCCGAGATCTATTTGTCCCCAGCTCTAAGATTATAAGTGTGTACTTGCTGCCTAGCTTTTTATGCCAGCGCTCTAACTGGGGTCCTCATACTTTGGAAGCAAGCACTTTCTCGACTGAGTCACCTCTCGCCCCTCCTCCTTCTTGGCTCCTCCTTGTTTTGCATGATCTCCCTATGGACAGTCTTGGGCCTCTTTCATTGCTTGGGTTTGGAAAGGAGTCCTGAGATTCAGCAGGGGGCAGCCTGGGTCAAGTTCTGGCATCTTCAGAGAATGGAGAAGACAGTCTGTCTGTCCCCCTGATTGGGGAGAGCAAACGGTATTGAAAGCAATGTTGGAAGTTGACTGCCTTCACCTCAGCCCTGATGAGCGTTTTCTCCTTTCTCCCCACAGGACCCACACCCGAGTCCACTGATCACCCTAGAAACTCAGGTGAGTGCCTCTCGTCGTCCTTGCCACCTATCTTCACCTTGAGGTTCAGTGACAGCTCTCCACAGTGGCCTCCGTGTGTCTCAGAAGGGACAGATGGGCATATCACGATGCCCTTGTGTCCCGTGTGCAACCACACTGACTGATTGTACATACATGTGTGAAATTCTGCATGCATAGGCATACCCACAGGAGGACCACTGAAGGTATACCCTGCCCAGTGATCCCCAGGAGGTGACTGCAAATGGAGAATGGAGACAGAGAGGCTTCTGCACGTAGATGGTGATGTCCCACTGCTCTGGACTTGGCTGACTTTGCTCCTTAGCAGTTGGCACAACGCTACTGGAAAGTGTTGGAGATCTTGGTAGAGTCTCCGCCATGCTGCAAGGGAAATTGGGCCCGTTGGGTTTCTTAGTTTTGTTAATAAAAGAACTTAAGGATGGACTCAAATAGAAGCTCGGAAATGATTTTATTAGAGTTTAAAAGAAAACTCTCAGGTAGGCAAGCTGTGAAGGCTGGCAGCGCCCTGAGGAGGGAAACAGAGAAGAGAAAGGGAAGAAGCCACGGCTTTTGAGTTAAGCCAGCATGGAGGTCAGCTAACATGGTGAATGACCAGCCACACTGTGAGGAGGGGCTTTAGGGAAATAATGGGAAAAAATGTACCAGAGAACAAATGCTTAAGCTCTGGTTGCTGAAAGAAAGAGTCAGGAGAGAAGAAAGAGTAAGAGTGGCATTGTTCTGAATCCTGACTGAAAAAGGTGGACAGACCCAAAGATGGCTGCAGAAAATCTGGGAAGAAGCACATTATCTCATTACAGGGCTAATCATTCCTCCTATTGCTTTAGCATGGCTTAAGGTGACTTGCCTTTCTGAAGAGTGGTCTCTTGGCCAGGTAACTGGTCACCCTGAGTGAATTAACTCTTAAGGTCGCCAAATGCCATATCTCCACTCAGTGGTAGATTCCAGTTTTTTGACTGGCAGGCAACAGCTTTCCCATCATGGGCCTTCAATGATACTATAACAGTAAGACCCAGCTCCCAGGGCGGGAAGTTGCGCTTTCTATCTGCTTGGGTACTGGAACATTCTGAATAGCCTAGATAGCAATGGTGTTTCTGTGTGGGGCAGATGACCCTTGGGTACAGAGATGGAAGATGTGACTCGGCCCTTACGTCTTCTCTATGGATATCTGCCTCAGAACCACTGAGACCTAAGTACCATACAGTGCTGCATCTTCTATCTGGTGGCATTGGTGATGTTGTCTAACCTCCAAGTCATTCCTTTTCCATCTTAGTGAGAGTCACAGGAAATGATTTCTCGAGCATCAGAGGTACATGGGGGCGGGGTGCCAGTATAATCTTTTATATAAAGGGACTGCAGCCTTTTCTACTGGCTTTGAAGGGGGTGTGTCTCCAGATTGATGGCCTCCTTGGCTTCATGGTTTGGTCAGATAACAAGGAGAAAAGGAAGACAGGCTGGACCTCCTTCAGAGCCCCAGAGAGAGTGCTTTCCAGGTGTCAGACACAGTAAAACATTTTCAACATTTCATGAATGAGTAACAGTGCTTTGGGGGATTTCTGTGGCATACTGGCAAATAATACCTGCGTTTTCCTTTCTTCCTCTAGCCCTGGGTCCTTGCAACTCACTGGCATCTCAGTTTGAATCTTCCCACAGAGAGTGAGGAGAGTCACAAACCACCTTGCTCTAGGGTGGCCTGGCTGTTAAGAAGCCCTTAAGCTTGGGGAGTGGGTTGAAGGAAAGGGATCCTCAGGGTTTCTTTGTGCTTATGTTCCTCTATCCTCCCATCCTTAGGGACACACTTGTATAGCTGCCCTAGGGAGGAGCAGGCCCCAGGGGTGGTGGAATAGGATGGATGGCTCAGCTCTGAGGAGAAGGATCCATGGCCTCTCTTCTGCTTTCTGTCATTCTTTACACACCCCTTTAGCCAATGTCTCTGTGAGTGAATTTTACCTGTCTAATTAAGTCACCTAATAGTTTGCTTTTTCTATAACTGAATTCACTGAACTTTAAACCAAACCAAGCCTTGGGGCATTCTCAATCTGGGCATAACTTTGATGCCCAAAAAGTATCTGTGAAGGTCTTGAGGACACTTAGGGTTGCCTCCTACAGGGGACCAGTTTATCTGCTAGTGATGGGGATAGAGCTCATTAGCATATAAGCAGCCAGTATATAACAAGCTCCAGGCCAGTGAGAGATCCCATCTTGGAAAAACAAACAGCACCCAGGGAATAGTATCTACTAAAGTTGATCCATAGCTTCCACATGAGAAATAATTATTTCCCATAATGGGAAAGAATTACCCCATCCAAGGTGCCAGTGGGGTCAAAGTTGAAAGACTGTATCATCAGTACTATTAGTGAAATCACAACTTGAGCAGCTATACCTGTAGATGTGTTGGTATGTATATGTAAATATGTATATGCATGTATGTGTGTATATATATATATATATACACACACACATACATACACACATCTATCTACCTATGTTTTCACAGTATTGAATAAGTTCTAAATTAAAAAATTAAGTTAAATCACTCCTTTGGGTATCCTCCAAAACTATCTATGTGAGTTCCCAGATATTATGTGTTTCACTTTGTGAAGTGTCTGCCTCCCGATCTACCCCTGGGTCACATGATAACTCCCAGGGTAAGCTGAGAGGCAGACTATAGAGCAATGACACTCCTCTCTTTGCTCAACCCTTCCCAAGAAATCAACCTGTTCTGCTAAGGAAAGCTTTGGGCAAGAGTCCATGTCCAGAGCACAGGAAGCCAGTTCTTCTCCCCTGCACTTGACCTTCCCATGTCCTTTGCTCTGGACTTCCTATACACTTTAAGGGAAGGGCTCAATCAGTTCTTCCTCAGTGCTCCATCCATCTCATCTGGTTCACTGTCTTTGGGGTAGTGGTAGTAGCTCTAGGACATTCTTGTCTTTATGATGTCAGACTTTTCATGTTAGGGGGGCATTGTAGGGAGGTGGGGAGAGATATGTCAGTGGGTAAAGGGCTTGCTCCAGAGACCATATTAAGAAAATGAAGCTGGATATTATGGTGCTCCTCTAATCCCAGAACTTGGAAGGCCAGAGACAAATGGTTCCCTGGAGCTCGTGGCCAGCCAGTAGACACTACTTGTTGAACTCTAGGCCAAGGAGAGACTCTCAGATTGACCTCTGGCCTCTACACACACACACACACACACACACACACACACACACACACACAAACAGCATTAGAACACAACCAGAGTATGAATTTTTTGTGTGATTTGCCCCCAGGTCATGGCCGTAAGTGACTTTGTTGCTGCGCCTCATCCCATTACAGGATGCACAATGGGATTTGGCCCAGCTGCCCTCTATGCAGTAAGACAAGAAGGGTAGGCTAGGTCTTCTGGCAGAAAGTGGTGTCCTAAATGTTACCCGTGTGTCATGAATAAGACGGCAGGTGTGGGGAGGGCTTACCCTGCAGAAGCAGCATTCCTATGAACTGTGAGTCCTGGCTAGGTTCCCTCTCCCATCCACAGCGCCCTTTCTGCTCCCAGTGGAATAACCTGCTGTGTCTTAGGGTCCAGGACATCACTTCTGTAGTGTGTTGTACTTCACTGTGTCCTTACATCTCATATGTGCACATGGCTTTGCTAACAGTCCAGGTTGCCCAGGATCCCAGGCCACCAAGGCACCACACTGTCCCTGATAGAAAGTCCTCACCCGTAGTCTAGTATATCTGTCCTCGCACAGCTGTGTCCGCTGGCTGCTGAGGGTCCTCTTATACCCTCTGCCATCAGCATGGTGGAACTTTGCATCTTCCAGCACAAGCAGGACCGTCTGCTTAGTGGTCAGATTGATATCATGAGGGGGTGAATAATATCCAAGTCCATGGTTTCAGATGTCTCTGTAGCACATGGCTCCAGTGGACAACTCAAGTAAGCTCTGCTTGGCAGTGGTGTCCACATAGCTGGTCTCTGAGTGGAAGTATTTGGGAAATGAAAATGTAAAGCAGCAAAAATCTGAAAGGACTTTAAATCTGGTTAGTGACCTGAAATCATTATTGTCATTCTTATTACCATGGTCACACTGTTATTTGATTCCATTTTCAGATGAGACACTTAAGGGTCTTAAAGCTCAAATAACTTGCCCAAGGTCACACAGAATGGACATAGCAGTGTGTGGGGGAATGTCAGGCTCAGGGTCATATGACATCAGAGTCTTTTTTTTTTCTGCCTCTGTTTTGTTATCCTAGAGAATAAAGTTGCCTTGATCAGTAGAAAGGTGTGCTAATGGTTAGACAAAGGCAGATGTACCAGTTCTGATGTTTGTAAAGCATCTTCTTAGACCAACTCAGATGAAGGCGGATAGCTGAATAGATGGATACCTATATGACAGCCAGACATATTGATGATAGATAGATGATAAATAGCTGGAAGATAGATGTGTCGTAGCTACTATTCTATGCTGTAAATAGATACGTTGACTAAAACAACTTACAGAACAGGGGATCTTAACCTTTCTAATGCTGTGACCACCTCGTGGGTGGTGACCTCCAACCATAAAGTTATTTCATTGCTACTTCATAACATTTTTGCTACTGTTATGAATTGTAATATAAATATATGATATGCATAATACTTGATATGCAACTTCCAAAATGGCCAGAACCCACAGGTTGAGAATTGCTGTTATAGAAGGGTTTATTTGGGGCTTAGAGTTTCAGAGAGTGAGTTCATAGCCATCATGGAGGAGAGCATGGGAACAGACAGGCAGGCATGCTACTAGAGCAGTTGCTGAGAGCTTACTTCTGGATTCACCAGCACGAAAAAGCAGTCACATTGGGAATGGCATAGGCTTTTGAAACTTTTGAGCCTGCCCCCAGTGATATGCCTCTTCCAACAAGACCCTACCCCCTAATCCTTTGCAAACATTTGCACCTACTGTGGATTAAGTATTCAAACATATGAGCCTATGGATGTCATTATTAGAGAGAAAGAAAGACAG